GCATGGCTGAAAGGCATCCAGGGGCTCCCCAAGCTCAGAGATGGACCTAGAACATCCCAGGGCAACTCCTCCACATCCCACAGATACTCACGGGGGATTCTCTCCTAGGGCACGCCCGCTGTACTGTTGCACCTGCTCTGGCCCGTAGATTGAAAACATTTGGTATGGGTTCACCGACACCAGAATGCTGCCGATATAGGTCTGCTGATAGATGGGGACCTTAGCGCCATGGTTGCCAAGGCCATCTGTGGCTCCTCTTTCCGATGGGACAAATGTCTGACTGCCTGGCCCCATTCTGTCATCTAGTCCTCTACAGCCCAAGAGGTCCTGATGGGCTGAAGTTGTGAATGTGAAGTGAATTAAGGCTCTGTGGCCTTAATCAGGACAAGATGGCATGTAATCTTCTGCCTACCTCATTTATCCAGGCTGCAGGCATATCTGCCCGTGCCAAGGTCAACCTCCACTGTCTAGAACAGAGAAGCAGGGATCACATGTGCCCCAAAGTCATCAAAGCCCTTACAGATATTCATGCCTTTCAGAAGTGGCTCCAGGCCTCAGGCCCTGTGTCCTGCAGCTCTGGGGTCACAGGTTTACTTCCACCCTCTGGCCACCTGTAGTCTAGAATCCAAGCATGTCCTTGGGCTGGCAAGCCCCAGACTTACATAGATGAGGTTTCGTTCAAATCTGGTCTTTAGGTTGGATAGCACAGTAGTCTCTTGGAGGTCTCTGGAAGGATGTGGAGATACTGTGAGGGTCCCCAGTCCTGGCACAGGCTCCACCCTACTTGGCATGGTGTCTTGGTCAGGTGTGTCTGAGATTAAGCCCCTTTCTGCCACTGACCAGCTATGAGACTTGGGCAAGATAGTTCATCTTGCTATGCCTCAGTTTCTTCATCTGTTCAATAGGCTGTCAAACATCATACACACTTTGTGGGACCCTGGTGGACACTGAGGTAGGAGACCTGAGGCTGAATTATTATGGTTGGAGAGTTTCAGGGATTCACAACATGTGCCAGCATTTTCACAGCAGCTTCCCATACCTCTCTTGTGGAAGAGAAACTGAGGCACAGAGTGGGGAGATGATAGGTCCATGACTGCCTAGCTGGTTAATGATATGGCTAGGATCTGAACAAAGGATCGTCTAACTCATAGAGCTTTGACTTACATTTGGGTTTTGCGACACTTCCTGACACTACTTGCAAATGGAAAAAACAGAGGCTCTGGAAGTGTTCGTAGGGGTAGATAGCCTGTTGAGGGATCCCACTAGGACTTCTCCCTCACCCCATCCACTTACTCCAGTTGTGTCATGTCCTCCACACCATCTTCCCTGTGCTGCTCACGGGACCGCACAGACGGCAGGTTGCGTATGGAGTGCATCTATGAGAGAAGGGGACAAGCTGGAGGCCTGGGTGGACCCTGGCTTGGACATACCAGGCACCTGGCCCCTGCTCTCATGGTCCGAGAGGAACGTCAAGGTTAGAACCTGGGGGGTCTTCCAGCCTCTTTGTCTTAGAGTTCAATGGTCCAGGAAGACTGTTTACAACCCTTACACATAGGGACGTGGGTCTATGTGTAAAGTATTTCGGGGGGAGCGTGCCTATGTGCCACGAGTGTCCTGCTCAGGGAGTGAGCACACACAGATACAGTCATAACCACAAACACAAGTGTCTGTCCCCTCCTTACCCCTGTCCTCTCAGTGTCCCTAATCTGCTACCCACAGATCCCATGTGTTGGCTTGTGTGACAGCTTGATGGACATCTGTGTCATGGCACACGAGGCCTCTGGAAAGACAAAGATGGAGGTTGCCCCAGCATGGAACCATCTCCTGCCCAGGGTAAGTGTATAAATACTGCATATGGACCTACTGGAGTGACACTGCCGTTCTCACAGCTCCCATGCATATCTGTGGCTATGTGCAGGCCCAAGTGCTTGACTGGGGGCGCACATATAGGTACTCTCAACATCCACTTGGTTGTACCTCCCACCTTGAGGATCTTGAAAGTGGGAGTTCTGATGTCAGCTTGGGGCTGAAGGCTCTCCACAGTGCCCATTTATATGTACACATGTATGTGCACAGTCAAAGGGTAGGCTGAGAGCTCTCATCTCTATGGATGCTCAGACTTGGCACACACCTGCTCTTCTTGCTTGCCCCTGGTATTTACTAACACACATCCAGGCACATGGACCTGCAAGGCTCTGAGTCACTGCAAGCATACACATATGCAGTTTTGGCCTTTCCCATCCCAGCTGCACCCTCCTTAGGCAAGGAAAGAGGATACAAGAGGGCCTGCGTGCTGCTTGCCCGCGCTCTGCTGTTAAATAGGATGCAGCAAGTATCAACCCTCCCGCCCTGGCCTCCAGCCCACCCATCTGGTCACGTGCTTGCCAGTGGTCACAGACCCTGAATAATTCAGCCACTCACGTATTCCAGAGTGAGGAGGGCCCAGGCATCCTTGCCCCTCACCCCTGGGCACCCTGTGCCCCGTTCCCGCAATGCTGCAGCCCACACAGCACGGGGCACCCGTCGTCGGGGCCAGGGTCCCCCTAGCAGCCAGGCTGCCCCGTTTGCCATTGCTAGGTCAGCTTGCTGCCTGTTCTGTGGGCACGGTGTGCCGAGGTGAAGAAGTACCGCCTATTACTGCTTGCCCCACCCATTCTGGGTGTCCCCAGGGAGGCTAGCATGATCACCTACCTCCTCCAAGGGCCACCCAGCATCCAGATCACCTTCCACCATGTATGTGGCAGCCAGTCATAGCCTGGGACTCCCTGAGACAGGCTGCCTGGCTATACCCAACAGACTCCTGGCTTCTGGGACTCAGTTTCCCTACTCTGTAATGAGACAGTCAGAAAGTAGGATCCTGTACCTCTACTCTCATATAGTCCTTTTCTACAGGGCCTGGCTATGCTGGGAAGTCCTTTGTCTAACCCCCAGATTCCCTGCAAGGTGCAGGTCCTCACCTTCAGAAGGGAGAGAGGGCCATGTAAACAGCCACTTTTCAGGGCTGCACATGACCCGTTGGGCCACTTCTCATTCTGATTCTTAAGCCAGAACTCCCAACCCCACCCTCTGACTTGTACCTCCATACCTCGCTCTTCCATGTTTGGGAGCCAGTCTTTTTCCAGGGGCCCCTGTGGGACAGGCAGTCACCTCTATGGCCCAGGAGGTGGGATTGAGAGGAGTGGGTTCGTATACGTGGCCAGGGAGAGTGAGCATCTGTTGGTGGCCAGAGGCGGGACCAGCGTAGACTATTGGCTTTGGGTGGGATATTCTCTGGATCTTGGTCTGGATGCTCTGGATGCTGCAGAGGAGCAGGCCTTTTTTGCTGGAAGGAACTCACCCCTCGCACTTGAGGCATGACCGCCGCGAACCGCCCAGGCTCAGCCTGGGGCTTCTCACCTGCCTTGAGCAAGAACACTGGGGCTCTGGTGGGGCCCAAGGGAGCTGAGGTTCTGGACAATGTCTTCCAGCGTCGCCATAGTGGCCATGTAGCCCTTGCCTGCTTATGTGTGACCAGTGGATGTGAGGAGATGAGTTGTAAATCCTTCCTCTCCAAGCTAAGATTTTTGTTGGGAAGTGTTGGGTTCAGGGTCTCAGGCTCAGCTGGTGGCTGAGAGTCCTCTGAGGTGACTGCTTTTTCAGGATTCTCCAAGCTTGGACTGGCTGACTCGGTGAGTTGCCCAGGTCCTGGGTCATGGTGTTGACCCAGGAAGATACCAGTTAAATTGGAGGCTTGATTCTCATGTGCAGGACTCATGTGTTCATGCAAGGGGTCTTCAGGCACAGGAGAGATCCTGGAGAAGCCTCTAAGGCTTCTTACTCCTTCTGGCCATGGAGAAGGAGGGCGCTGTGTAGAAGGTATGTCCACATCCCAGCTGGGGGCCAACGGGGGCACTGTCCAGGGCGTCTCTGAGTCCTCTGGTTCACGCTGATTCTCTTGGTGCTCCAAAGACCCTGTAGCCCAGGGCCCAGCACTGGGTGGTGGGCGGTAGGGCCTATGTATCCATGGCTTCACAGCTCGGGTAGGTGGCTCGCTGAGTCGCCGCCAGGTCCGTGGAAGGCGTGAGGGCAGGTTGAGGGACCGGTGCCGGGGGCCATGGTTCAGGAGTGGTGGTGGTGAGGGTGGTCGCGGAGAACCTAGCACTGGTGAGCAGGGTGGGCGTAGGCGCCCAGAGGCTCGATGCATGGAGAAGGTCTCCCGAAGTGACTGAGGCCTTCGTGGAGGGGGTGGGAAGGGTGGCTGGAAGGGACCCCTTCGGAGGGATAACTGAGGAGACAAGGGCCCTAAAGGTGAGCCGTAGCCCTGGCCTGGCAGGCTCCTCAGAGAGGGCTGGGGTGAGGGCAGATTGGGCCTTCTCCTCGAGCCTATCAGGGAAGACCTGGGGAAGCCAAAACCTGCCCCTCGACTGCGACTGCGGGATGCTCGGAAAGATGGCCGGGGCACAGGAAAGGCCAGAAGGTCAGGAGCAACCTCTGGGCTAAGAGGAGGGGGCTCAGCAAAGCCCCACCATTTTGCCTGGGGTGTAAAGGGCACATGAGCTGGGGCAGCCCAGGGAGGTGGGCGGGGGCGGAGGGAGCCATAGGGTGAGCTGTAGGGGGAAGCTAGCCTTGGAGGCCTGGAAAGGGCTGGAGAGAAGGG